TTGGTATGGGGATCGAACTCAGGACCTTGCGCTTCACCATATGTTTTAATCACACCTCATACAAAAGCAGTAGATATATCAGCATCTAGATGTAAAAATGGGAACCAGAACATAGGGCTTGTTTGCCATGGGTATTTATTGAAATTTGGATTATTGAATGCAAAGTGTATCTTAAGATTCAAAGCATCATCTGAATTAAGGAGAAATGAAGACTGGAGCCCAGTAAAGAGGGTGTGGTGGCCATATGGATAAGCAGGAAAGCCAGTGGGAGAAAAGGGGTCTGATGCAGCTGGCAAGCATGAATCTTCAGTGCTTTGTGAAGCTAGAGTAGCTGGGAAAGGAGGAACAGATTTTTAGCATATTCTACATAACTTCATGCTGGGTCTGTAGTTAGCAGTGAGCTGTAGTCTCCCTTGATTTGAAGGAGCTTATTATAAAGATATATAAAGAAGAACTTAGAGTCCAGTGTAGTGCCGTGGTGGCAAACATATGGTATGCATGTTACTTGTTTTTCTTTTAAGACAAAATATGTTAATTTATGAGTTATTTTCTAAACAAAAACCTCAGTGTTCAGGTTTAATTGCAGGGTTGTACTTTGTGATAAATAAGTGGGTTTCGAGTTGCAGTTTGGGCCCTCATCTCTAAAGGAATTTTTGCCATCACTGCACTAGTACCTATCATATTCTGCAAAAATTGCTAAGGTTTGATTATGTTCAGCAGTGATTGGCAGTATTAATGACTGTTTACACTGTTTATGCCCTTCATCTTATCATTTCCACACTTAGCTATTTCTGTTTTAAACCCATTCATTCTTTTGGCATTTCATTTGTTTTGACCTGTGCTCATATAGTACTTTCATTAAATACACTTTTTATTACTTCATTAAATAATACTTGTATTATATTTTTTAAACCTGGTTAATGTTTTTATTGTTGTTTTTAAGTTCATAGGATGCCCCAAATTAAAGTGTATCATTTTCTGGCCAAGAAGAGTAAGTGGCTGAGCATGGTGGTGCATTGCATGCGTAGGCAGGAGGATTGCCATGAGTTCAAGGCCACCCTGAACTTTAGAGCGAGACCCAGTCTCAGAAAACAAACAACAACAACAGAATAAACAAAAAGGACCAAGGGATTCTCTTAGAATAACTAGGCTTTGAGAGCACAGGTTTTCAGAAGTCACATATTTATATTGTTTTAGTCAATAATTAATTTTAAAGGATAGAAAAAGTGTTTTTGTGTGATTGGGTTTTTTTGTTTTGTTTTGATTTTTGTGGATCTGAGGATTACAAGCTCAGGGCCTTCACCCTGGGATACATCTCCAGCCCCTTTTTTTTTTTTTTTTTTTTTTTTTTTTTTGAGACAGGGTCTCACTGTGTAGTTGAGACTGACCTAGAATTCACTGTGTAGCCCAGGCTGGTCTCGAACTCACAGCCATCCCCCTGCTTCAGCCTCCTGAGTGCTGGGATTACAGGCATGTGCCACCACACCCGGCCTCAGCCCTTTTATTTTTAAGAGTAGTAGTAAGTTGTTAAATTGCCCAGGCTGGGCTTGAACTTGTGATCCTTCTTCCTCAGCCTTCCACAGTGCTGCAGTTATAGGCATGTGCTGGAAAAGTGGAATTACAGCATTGATTATAAACAGATTAGGCTGGAGATTTGGCTCAGTGGTTTTGCCACCTGCCTCGCTAGCCCAAGGGCCCGTTTGATCCCTGGTACCAAAAATGCAAAAAACAGGTTCATGGGGCCAGGGATGTAGCTCAGTGGCGCCAAGCCTGCCTCGCGAGCACAAGGTCCTGAGTTTGATCCCCTGTACCGGGGACAAAAAAACAGGTTAATAATGCTTGTGATTATATACTCAGTCTGGTTGGATTGAGAATTATGCCTGTATTTCTTACTAGCAACCTACCTCAGCTTTCCCTTTAATAGAAGTTATATCCTGTCTTTTTTTGCCATCTTGCATTAAAAATTGTCAAGTTAATTTGGTCGTTTTGTTAATTTTATTTTCTTTGCAACTAACTGTATGTTGCTGTATATATCAGTACGAGATGTAACAAATTTGCTGCTCAAAATGGCAGAGCAAATATAAAAGTATATTTGTTTTTAGGTGTTTAAAATAAACTTTGTTTTGGGGCAGCGAATAAAACTTAGTCAAAAGAAGCAAACCAAATGAGAAAATAGTATGGAAAAGCAAAGAACGGGGAATTTTGAAAGGAACGTTGTAAGTGGAGTTGTGGGATATCTGGCGTTCTGATTGTACATAATGCATATTGCCTGTTTCCTGGGCACATTTCCTCATGAACTGTCCTGCCTTCCTATTTTTTGGTAGCTTCCTTCTTCTTCAACGTGGGGCCAGCAGTCTAACACAACAGCATGTCAGTCTCAGGCCACGCTGTCACTGGCTGAAATCCAAAAATTGGAAGAAGAACGAGAACGGCAGCTTCGTGAAGAGGTAAATTTTTAAAGTAAAAGTTGTCTGTCCAAACTGTTCTGGTAGATGTCATGTGCTTGACTGGTTAGTGGTTCCTGAAGATTGTCAGAATTGCTGTATGTTGGAGTGGCATGTTCATTGTTAAACTGTTAAGCCTATTATTTGGTCACCTTGGCAAATAGGAAGATTCTGTTAGGGATAACCTTAATATTAGGTAACATAAATGTTCAGTTTCCTTGAACATCTTAATGTAGCTCATATCTGAAAGAATGTGGACTGTTCAGAATTGGGGGTGTGTTTTATAAGTATTCTTTTGCAAATTTGAGGTTTAAAATGTAGACTACATTTTTCTTTAGGAGTTTGTTTTGGGTTCTCTGATGAGGGTAGAAAAACTGATAGTAGAACAAAAAAAAATCTCTGTGTTCAATTATATCCCAACATTTATCACTAGGATAGGGAAGATACACAAGCATGAAGAAAAAGGAAGAAAAGGAATAACTCTTTGTCAGAGATGAGAAAGTTATTCATGAGGCAGGTCATTAGACTCCTAATTCATCAACTAATCCGGCGTCTGATAACTAAGTACCAATTCACTCCCAGTCTGGGGATGTGGCCAAGTCTAAATTCTGTAGTCATAGAGAAATGGGCAATAGAAGTTAAGTGAAACATATAGCATATCAGAAGGTGAAAAGTGCCAAAGAGAAAAATGACAGGGCAAGGGAATAGGAAGAGTGTTGGGAGTTGTGGATGGCGTTGGGATTGGGATGATAGACTGTCCATTTTAGAGAAGGCCTGTCTGAACAGTTGACATGGTTTGGCATCATCTTGCATGCTTTATGTGGCTATGATGGAGGCGGAACCTTCAGTTTGTTGGAGAATGCAAGTTGACATTTTGGAATGAGGGTTGTGTGAATCACAGACATAGGATGCCACAAGCATATCAAGAGAAGTAGGAGCTCTTTGTATGTTTTTACTATATAGTGTACCTGACATCATCCCGTGGATTAAAATGTTTCTTCACCTTATTTCCTACCTTCATTTACAAAGGAATTGTTCTTCTAGACTCACCTTTTTCTAAAAGGTTATCAACAAATAGATGCAGAGTATATTTCAAGGCTAGAAGTTATTCCAATAATTTTGGTCTCTGCTGAATGAAAAAATAATAACGGTAGTAATGAGTAGGAATCACAGGTCTTCTCTCCTTCTCCCTCCCTCTCTTCATCTCCTTTTACCTCTCTCTTTTTTCTTTCCCTCTTCCACTCATCTCTTTTCCTCTCCCCCCTGCCCCTCTGGTGGGGATCAAGCAAGGTTCCTCACATATATCGAGCAGAGATTCTGCTGAGCTGTATCCTTAGCCACAGGCCTTTTCTTTTTCATGTTCTCTGCCTCCCAGAAGTTAGTAATTACTTCATCTGTATTTTTGTTTAATTTTCTTTGAATCTTTTATTTTTTATGTACCGCTCAGTACATATTTATCACACAGAGAAAACTAAAATGAGGTTATTGCATTTTTTCTTCTGGAGTCACCCTTTTTGAGGACCTCAGACTATTCCCTTCTGGGAACTTTGGGTGCTGTGCATCTATTATTTGTTTGTTTGGGGGTTTTTCCTGGAATTTCTTCCAATAACATGGTTTTTCCAGACTGATTATGATTTTCTTCTGTTGTATATCTGCCTTTGCATGTGGTGGTGGGGGGCTGAGACAGTTGGTTATAGAAAGAACTTCTATAAGGAATTGTGTAAGAATTTTTTATTCTTGTTTTACTTAATTGTATCATCTTAACCTCTCTAAGGATATTACTTACAGCTTTTAAAAAGCCAGGTCCTATTTTCCCTTGTCTTACCTCCTCCACTGAAGGTTGTTTCTCTTGGTCTTTGGCTTTAACTTAAGAGCATATGTCCCATTTGGTAATCCTTGTCTGTTTGTTCATATTTACAAGTTAAACACTAAAAAGCTGGTTGACCTCCTGATATATACACCATTTTGGTGGCTTCTCTGTGATGGTTTCTTGCTGAGCTGTTCTTGTGGAGGAATGCCTAAGGTTTGTATCTTAGGTGTATTTTCTTGTGCTGCTTCTTGGTTTCTTCATAGTTCAATCTGCGTACTTGCTCTGTCCTTTTTGTTAGGGTGGGCATGTGTCCACTGCCTGACCGTTCAGTGCTGTGCAGGTCATGTGGGGCTCCCTGCTTCAGGTTCAGACGTCAGTCTCCTCTGGAGGAGCTACCTCCATCATCCTGTGCTTTCTCTATGAGTCTGCCTGTTTATGAGCTTCCTTTACTGAAATTTCCATTTATTGGGTCTGTTATACTGGTTACCATTAACTGTCTCCTTTATAGCTTTTAAAACAAACTATTCTGGTCTCTTTGTCATTCATGTTTTT